AGGAGGTCGTGGGTTCGATCCCGACCCTGATGAGATGTTAACTACCTCGCCTGGTATACAGGAGGTCGTGGGTTCCATCACGACCCCTGACAATGCCTATTGCTGCTGCTGTACATTTGGAGTCTGCGTCTCTCTCATCATCATCATCACCACAGCGGCTAGGAGATGTTGACTACCTCGCCTGGTACACAGGAGGTCGTGGGTTCGATCCTGGGGTCCTAGCACATTGAGAATCAATGTTTAGATGTTGTGGCTGCTGCCGCTGCTGCTGCTGCTGTGACCTTTCACGTGACGATGACGGCGACGATGAAGACATCAACCACGTGGTTGAGCGGCTGTCAACTTGTGGTGATGGCCAGCGAGCTTCTGAACTAAGAGGCACATTGTGGTGACCTTACACCTGGTGACACTAAATACATCTCTGTGGGTCATTGAGTATGGGTCTCTCTGGGTCTCTATGAGTATGGGTCTCTATGAGTATTGGTCTCAATGAGTATGGGTCTCTGTGAGTCTCTATGAGTCTCTGTGAGTATGGGTCTCTATGGGTCTTTATGAGTATGGGTCTCTATGAGTATGGGTCTCGGTGGGTCTCTATGAGTATGGGTCTCTGTGGGTCTCTATGAGTATTGGTCTCTATGAGTATGGGTCTCTATGATTATAGGTCTCTGTGGGTCTCTATGAGTATGAGTCTCTATGATTATAGGTCTCTGTGGGTCTCTATGAGTATGGGTCTCTGTGGGTCTCTATGAGTGGGTCTCTGTGGGTCTTTATGAGTATGGGTCTCTGTGGGTCTCTATGAGTGGGTCTCTGTGGGTCTTTATGAGTATGGGTCTCTGTGGGTCTCTACGAGTATGGGTCTCTATGAGTATGGGTCTCTATGAGTGGGTCTCTGTGGGTCTCTATGAGTGGGTCTCTGTGGGTCTCTATGAGTATGAGTCTCTGTGGGTCTATGAGTGTGGGTCTCTGTGGGTCTCTATGAGTATGGGTCTCTATGAGTATGGGTCTCTGTGGGTCTCTATGAGTATGGGTCTCTATGAGTATGAGTCTCTGTGGGTCTATGAGTGTGGGTCTCTGTGGGTCTCTATGAGTATGGGTCTCTATGAGTATGGGTCTCTGTGGGTCTCTATGAGTGTGGGTCTCTATGAGTATGAGTCTCTATGAGTATGGGTCTCTATGAGTATGTGTCTCTATGAGTATGGGTCTCTATGAGTATGGGTCTCTGTGAGTCTCTATGAGTATGGGTCTCTATGAGTATGGGTCTTTATGAGTGTGGGTCTCTATGAGTATGGGTCTCTGTGAGTCTCTATGAGTATGGGTATCTTGTGGGTCTCTATGAGTATGGGTCTCTATGCGTATGGGTCTCTGTGGGTCTCTATGAGTATGGGTCTCTATGAGTATGGGTCTCTATGAGTATGGGTCTCTGTGGGTCTCTATGAGTATGGGTCTCTGTGGGTCTCTATGAGTATGGGTCTCTATGAGTGTGAGGCGCTATGAGTGTGAGTCTCTATGCGTATGGGTCTCTATGAGTGTGAGTCTCTATGCGTATGGGTCTCTATGAGTGTGGGTCTCTATGAGTGTGAGTCTCTATGAGTATGGGTCTCTGCGTCTCTCTGGAACGTGATGACGATGACATCAGCCACTCGTTTGATCTGCTGACCACTGCATCACCATGATCTTCAAACTCACCACCCCCCCCACCCACCACCACCACCTCCCACCACACCAGGTTCTGGTGGACGTGGGGTGGAGATCCTTACCTTGAGGTGGAGTGTGTGGACGAGAGGGCCCTTTGCCGTACCGGGATTGTAGCGCTAACCACCACCACCATCACCACCATCACCTTCATCTGCTAACTCCTCCACTCCCTCCCCACCCACCACCACCACCACACCAGGTTCTGGTGGACGTGGGTGGAGATCCTTGCCTTGAGGTGGAGTGTTTGGACGAGAGGGCCCTTTGCCGTACCGTGTTCGTAGCGCAGCGTAGCGCTAACCACCACCACCATCACCTTCATCTGCTAACTCCTCCACTCTCTCCCCACCCACCACCACCACCAGGTTCTGGTGGACGTGGGTGGAGAGCCTTGCCTGGAGGTTGAGTGTGGGGACGAGAGGGCCCTACTCTATGTCCGGCGACTTTGCCAGGGCAGCAAAGGGCCGTCCATCCGCTACCGGGGAGACTGGCTCACCCCGAACGAGTTCCAGTTCGTGTCCGGGCGGGAGACTGCCAAAGATTGGAAGAGAAGCATCAGGCATCGTGGTGAGTGGGTGGGTGAGTGGGTGGGTGAGTGTGTGGGTGAGTAGGTGGGTGGGTGGGTGAGTGGGTGAATGAGTGGGTGGGTCGGTGAGTGGGTGGGTGGGTGGGTGAGTGGGTGAGTGGGTGAGTGGGTGGGTGAGTGGGTGAGTGGGTGGGTGAGTGGGTGAAGGAATGAGAGTGTGAGTGAGTGGGTGAGTGAGTGGTTGAATGAGTGGTTGAGTGAGTGAGTGGGTGAGTGTGTGAGTGAGTGGTTGAGTGAGTGGGTGGGTGAGTGGGTGGGTGAGTGGGTGAGTGAGTGAGTGGGTGAGTGGTTGAGTGAGCGGTTGAGTGAGTGGGTGGGTGAGTGAGTGTGTGGGTGAGTGTGTGAGTGAGTGGGTGAGTGTGTGCGTGAGTGGTTGAGTGAGTGGGTGGGTGAGTGGGTGGGTGAATGAGTGTGTGAGTGAGTGGTTGAGTGAGTGAGTGGGTGAGTGGGTGGGTGAATGAGTGTGTGAGTGAGTGGTTGAGTGAGTGAGTGGGTGAGTGGGTGGGTGAGTGAGTGAGTGCGTGAGTGCGCGGGTGTGTGAGCGAGTGGGTCAAGTGAGTGACTGACTACTACCGCTCACCACTACTTCTACTGCCCCTATCGCCACCGTGTCCTTGATCCGGACCTTCGCATGGCCCCGAAGTTTGAGTCCAGCGTGAGCGTTGACGCTACCTGGGCTGTTGCCTCTGTCCACGCATCTCCAGGCAAGAGTCTCAAGACGCTGATGTCCAAGGGCGTCTTGCAGGTCCACCCTCCCATCTGCGACTGTCCTGGCTGCCGCATCTCCTCGCCCGTGGTGAGCTCACAGTGCCCCACTCACCGTGCACACTCACCACGGACACTCACCGTGCACACTCACAGTGTCACACTCACCGTGTCACTCACCACGGACACTCACCGTGGACACTCACCGTGGACACTCACCGTGTCACTCACCGTGCACACTCACCGTGGACACTCACCGTGTCACTCACCACGGACACTCACAGTGCCCCACTCACCGTGTCACTCACCACGGACACTCACCGTGTCACTCACCGTGGACACTCACCGTGCACACACACCGCACCATACACACCGCATCATACACACCGCATCACACACACCGCATCACACACACCGCACCACACACACCGCACCACACACACAGCATCACACACACCGCACCACACACACACACCACACACCGCATCACACACACGCATCACACACACCGCATCACACACACCGCACCATACACACCGCATCACACACACCGCACCACACACACACGCATCACACACACCGCATCACACACACGCATCACACACACCGCATCACACACACGCATCACACACACCGCATCACACACACGCATCACACACACCGCATCACACACACCGCATCACACACACCGCATCACACACACCGCATCACACACACCGCATCACACACACAGCATCACACACACCGCACCATACACACCGCATCACACACACAGCATCATACACACCACATCACACACACACCGCATCACACACACCGCATCACACACACCGCACCATACACACCGCATCACACACACCGCACCACACACACCGCATCACACACACCGCATCACACACACCGCATCACACACACCGCATCACACACACCGCACCACACACACCGCATCACACACACCGCACCACACACACACACACCACACACCGCATCACACACACCGCATCACACACACCGCATCACACACACCGCCCCATACACACCGCATCACACACACAGCATCATACACACCGCATCACACACACCGCATCACACACACCGCATCACACACACAGCATCACACACACCGCATCACACACACCGCACCACACACACCGCATCACACACACCGCACCACACACACCGCACCACACACACCGCACCACACACACCGCACCATACACACCGCACCACACACACCGCACCATACACACACCGCACCATACACACCGCATCACACACACAGCACCACACACACCGCACCATACACACCGCACCACACACACCGCATCACACACACAGCATCACACACACAGCACCACACACACCGCACCATACACACCGCATCACACACACCGCATCACACACACCGCACCACACACACCGCATCACACACACCGCACCACACACACCGCATCACACACACCGCATCACACACACCGCACCATACACACCGCACCACACACACCGCACCATACACACACCGCACCATACACACCGCATCACACACACAGCACCACACACACCGCACCATACACACCGCACCACACACACCGCATCACACACACAGCATCACACACACAGCACCACACACACCGCACCATACACACCGCATCACACACACCGCATCACACACACCGCACCACACACACCGCATCACACACACCGCACCACACACACCGCATCACACACACCGCACCATACACACCGCACCACACACACCGCACCATACATACACCGCACCATACACACCGCACCACACACACCGCACCATACATACACCGCACCACACACACCGCATCACACACACAGCACCACACACACCGCACCATACACACCGCACCACACACACCGCATCTCTCCCCCGTCTCACCCCCACTTCCCTCTCTCCCCCCCCGTCTAGAATCGAGGCCGTCTGGCTGATAAGCGTGCCCACATGGCCCTCACCACCACCGCCTCCACCGCCTCCACCGCCTCCACCGCCACCACCGCCGCCGCCGCCGCCGCCACCGCCGCTCCCGGCAGAGGGAAGGAAGCAACGGCCTCCTCCTCCTCCTCCTCCGGTGGAGCGGCCGACGGGGGAGCGCGCAGGGAGGCCGTGGCACGGCGAAGGTGCGTGGGCCTCCCCTAGGTCGACTCGGCTTTAATTGACAAAGAGTTAGTTCTAGATTTAAAGCTTTCGTGACTGCAAGGATCCACACACTCTTTGGTTCTATTCGGTAAAGTCACCACGTGGGTAATTAAAACAAAACAACAAAAATTATCGCGACGTTTCGGCCACAACACAAGCGGCCCTCATCAGGTGAAGGGACCAGCGCTGTCCTCGAGGACAGCGCTGGAGTGAAACACAGCCACGCTCAGACCGCGATGGCTTTTCCTGCTGACACTGAGGCTACACGCCTTTTTAAACCTTTACAAGCAGTTTGCCTTTAGAGGCTAACCCCCTTTTCCCGCTGACACTGAGGCTACACGCCTTTTTAAACCTTTATAAACAGTTTGCCTTTAGACGGGAGCCCCCTTTTCCTGCTGACACTGAGGCTACACGCCTTTTTAAACCTTTACAAGCAGTTTGCCTTTAGAGGCAAACCCCCTTTTCCTGCTGACACTGAGGCTACACGCCTTTTTAAACCTTTAGAGGCAAACCCCCTTTTCCTGCTGACACTGAGGCTACACGCCTTTTTAAACCTTTACAAACAGTTTGCCTTTAGAGGTTCACCCCCTTTTCACGCTGACACTGAGGCTACACGCCTTTTTAAACCTTTATAAACAGTTTGCCTTTAGAGGTTCACCCCCTTTTCAAGCTGACACTGAGGCTACACGCCTTTTTAAACCTTTATAAACAGTTTGCCTTTAGACGGGAGCCCCCTTTTCCTGCGGACACTGAAGCTACACGCCTTTTTAAACCTTTACAAGCAGTTTGCCTTTATAGGCAAACCCCCTTTTCCTGCTGACACTGAGGCTACACGCCTTTTTAAACCTTTAGAGGCAAACCCCCTTTTCCTGCTGACACTGAGGCTACACGCCTTTTTAAACCTTTACAAACAGTTTGCCTTTAGAGGTTCACCCCCTTTTCACGCTGACACTGAGGCTACACGCCTTTTTAAACCTTTATAAACAGTTTGCCTTTAGAGGTTCACCCCCTTTTCACGCTGACACTGAGGCTACACGCCTTTTTAAACCTTTATAAACAGTTTGCCCTTTAGAGGCAAACCCCCTTTTCCTGCTGACACTGAGGCTACACACCTTTTTAAACCTTTAGAGGCTAACCCCCTTTTCCTGCTGACACTGAGGCTACACGCCTTTTTAAACCTTTAGAGGCTAACCCCCTTTTCCTGCTGACACTGAGGCTACACGCCTTTTTAAACCTTTAGAGGCTAACCCCCTTTTCCTGCTGACACTGAGGCTACACGCCTTTTTAAACCTTTAGAGGCACCCCCTTTTCCTGCTGACACTGAGGCTACACGCCTTTTTAAACCTTTAGAGGCTAACCCCCTTTTCCTGCTGACACTGAGGCTACACACCTTTTTAAACCTTTAGAGGCTAACCCCCTTTTCCTGCTGACACTGAGGCTACACGCCTTTTTAAACCTTTAGAGGCTAACCCCCTTTTCCTGCTGACACTGAGGCTACACGCCTTTTTAAACCTTTAGAGGCTAACCCCCTTTTCCCGCTGACACTGAGGCTACACGCCTTTTTAAACCTTTAGAGGCTAACCCCCTTTTCCTGCTGACACTGAGGCTACACGCCTTTTTAAACCTTTAGAGGCTAACCCCCTTTTCCTGCTGACACTGAGGCTACACGCCTTTTTAAACCTTTAGAGGCAAACCCCCTTTTCGTGCTGACACTGAGGCTACACGCCTTTTTAAACCTTTATAAACAGTTTGCCTTTAGACGGGAGCCCCCTTTTCCCGCTGACCGACCGCTTGCGCGTTGCGATCGAAACTCCGCGCGTTTTTTTTGGTTACTCCCTTTGAACCGATCTACCCGACTTCACCGAAAGACCCAAACAATTTGAATTCCTGCAGTGACGAAAGCTTCAAGTCAAGAACCGAGAGCATGTTTTATATATATATTTATATAAAAAAAAAAAATTGTAACAAACAAAAACCAATGGCATTCATTTGTATTCTTTTTGGTTTTCCTGTCGTTCAAAATATTTTTTGGGGTTGTTTTAAACAGAAAAAATTATACGTGGATTTTAATGTTTTTTTATTTTTTATTTTATTTATAATGCGACGCTCGTCGCTGCAGCCGTAGACCCCCCTGACCCCAGTTCCATTCCCGCTTCTAGGCCAACAACCGCTAAGGGTCGACTCAGCCTTGATACAATTTTTAAAAAAAATTATGAATTAGATTTTTTTCTTAAAGGTATTCGTCATTTGTATTTTTTTAAAAAAATACGTGTTTTTAAATTTGTTAATTGTTTTATATTTTGTTTTTACTTTTAGTTATTCAAAAACGTTGTGATGCTTTTTTTTTTAAATACGTCTTTTTAAAAGGTTTTATTTGCTCGGCACGTGGCCAGCCAGAGCCAGGCGAGGGAGACCCACGGGGTCAGCCGCAGACCCCCCCTGACCCCAGTTCCATTCCCGCTTCTAGGCCAACAACCGCTAGGTCGACTCAGCCTTGATACATTTTAAAAAAAAAATTCAAAAATGAATTAGATTTTTTTCTTAAAGGTATTCGTCATTTGTATTTTTTTTTTTAAAATACGCGTTTTTAAATTTGTTAATTGTTTTATATTTTGTTTTTACTTTTAGTTTTTCATAAACGTTTTGATGCTTTTTTTTTTAAATACGTATTTTTAAAAGGTTTTATTTGCTCGGCACGTGGCCAGCCAGAGCCAGGCGAGGGAGACCCACGGGGTCAGCCGCAGACCCCCCCTGAGCCCAGTTCCATTCACGCTTCTAGGCCAACAACCGCTAGGTCGACTCAGCCTTGATACAATTTTTAAAAAAAAATCAAAAATGAATTAGATTTTTTTCTTATAGGTATTCGTCATTTGTATTTTTTTTAAAAATACGCGTTTTTAAATTTGTTAATTGTTTTATATTTTGTTTTTACTTTTAGTTATTCAAAAACGTTTTGATGCTTTTTTTTTTAAATACGTCTTTTTAAAAGGTTTTATTTGCTCGGCACGTGGCCAGCCAGAGCCAGGCGAGGGAGACCCACGGGGTCAGACGTAGACCCCCCCTGACCCCAGTTCCATTCCCGCTTCTAGGCCAACAACCCCTAGGTCGACTCAGCCTTGATACAATTAAAAAAAATGTTTTAATGAATTAGTTTTTTTTCTTAAAGGTATTCGTCATTTGTATTTCTTTATTTAAAAAAAATACGCGTTTTTAAATTTGTTAATTGTTTTATATTTTGTTTTTACTTTTAGTTATTCAAAAACGTTGTGATGCTTTTTTTTTAAATACGTATTTTTAAAAGGTTTTATTTGCTCGGCACGTGGCCAGCCAGAGCCAGGCGAGGGAGACCCACGGAGTCAGCCGTAGACCCCCTCTAACCCCAGTTCCATTCCCGCTTCTAGGCCAATAACCCCTAGGTCGACTCAGCCTTAATAAAACTATTTCAATTTGTGAAAAACATTTGAAAAAAAAAATTTGTTTACATTTTAACGTTGAAAAAAAAATGTTGGTTTGAAATGTATTTGTTTCACGTTTAGTTATTTAAAAAAAAATGTTTTTACTTTGAGGCCACCAACCCCTAGGTCAACTCGGCCTGAATACAAATTTTAAATAATTGTAGTTTTAATTTGTTGTTTTTAAAAAATATATTTTTTATGTTTTTGTGTGTGTCTGTGTGTGTGTCTGTGTGTGTATCTGTGTCTGTGTGTCTGTGTGTGTCTGTGTGTGTCTGTGTGTGTGTGCGTGCGTGCAGAGATAGTAATCTGTCCGCCATCATATCGAGTTTGCACCACAGCAAGCGGCTGGCCACCGTCAGGGACGGGAGCGACGTACACGGTAACGCTCACCCACACGCTCACCCACTCGCTCATCCACTCACTCACCCACTCACCCGCCCAACCACTCACTCACCCACTCGCTCACCCACCCACTCGCTCACCCACTCACTCACCCACTCGCTCACCCACTCACTCGCTCACCCACCCACTCGCTCACCCACCCACTCGCTCACGAACCCACTCACTCGCTCACTCACCAACCCACTCGCTCGCTCACCCACTCACTCACCAACCCACTCACTCGCCCACTCACCCACCCACTCACCCACCCACTCACTCACTCACCCACTCACTCACCCACCCACTCGCTCACCCACCCACTCGCTCACGAACCCACTCACTCGCTCACTCACCAACCCACTCGCTCGCTCACCCACTCACTCACCAACCCACTCACTCGCCCACTCACCCACCCACTCACCCACCCACTCACTCACTCACCCACTCACTCACCCACCCACTCACTCACCCACCCACTCACCCACCCACTCACTCACCCACTCACCAACCCACTCGCTCGCCCGCTCACCAACCCACTCGCTCGCTCACTCACTCACTCACCAACCCACTCACTCGCCCACTCACCAACCCACTCACTCGCCCGCTCACTCGCTCACTCACCCACTCACCAACCCACTCACTCGCCCACTCACCAACCCACTCGCTCACCCACTCACTCGCCCACTCACCAACCCACTCGCTCGCCCGCTCACTCGCTCACTCACCCACTCACCCACTCACCAACCCACTCGCTCGCCCGCTCACCGACCCACTCACTCACTCACAACCTGCCATGCTTACTGATACACACACACACACTGATACACGCACCGTCACGTATGCGTGTGTGGTGAGTGTGTGGTGAGTGTATGGTGAGTGTGTGGTGAGTGTATGGTGAGTGTGTGGGGAGTGTATGGTGAGTGTGTGGGGAGCGGTAGTGTAATGGTTAGCGCTACGCTGCGCTATGAACCTGGCGACCCGGGTTCGATTCCCGCTCACGGCCAACACCGGTGACGATTATCTGAACCGGTCCCGGGCCTCCCCTAGGTCGACTCAGCCTCAAATGAGTACCTGGTGCGGTGTGTAAACATTGCCACTAGGGAGACAAAGGCGGTCGGGCGTGGTGCTGGCCACCCACCCCCTCGTGTGCCGTTCCGGCCTTCATAGGTGCTCGCTAACAGCACTTGCCCCTACAGTCTGTTAAGGCTATACGGGGGATCTTTGTCTTTGTGTGTGTGTCTGTGTGTAGTGTGTGTGTGTAGTGTGTGTGTGTCTGTGTGTGTCTGTGTGTGTGTCTGTGTGTGTGTGTGTGTCTGTGTGTGTCTGTGTGTGTGTGTCTGTGTGTGTGTCTGTGTGTCTGTGTGTGTGTATGTGTGTGTGTCTGTGTGTGTGTGTGTGTGTCTGTGTGTGTGTGTGTTTCTGTGTGTCTGTGTGTGTGTGTGTCTGTGTCTGTGTGTGTGTCTGTGTGTGTAGTGTGTGTGTGTCTGTGTGTGTGTGTCTGTGTGTGTGTGTCTGTGTGTGTGTGTCTGTGTGTGTGTGTTTCTGTGTGTCTGTGTGTGTGTCTGTGTGTGACTGTGTGTCTGTGTGTGTATGTCTGTGTGTGTGTCTGTGTGTGTGTGTGACTGTGTGTGTGTGTCTGTGTGTGTGTGTCTATGTGTGTCTGTGTGTGTGTGTGTGTCTGTGTGTGTGTGTGTCTATGTGTGTCTGTGTCTGTGTGTGTGTGTCTATGTGTGTCTGTGTGTGTAGTGTGTGTGTGTCTGTGTGTGTGTGTCTGTGTGTGTGTGTCTGTGTGTGTGTCTGTGTGTGTGTGTGTTTCTGTGTGTCTGTGTGTGTGTCTGTGTGTGACTGTGTGTCTGTGTGTGTATGTCTGTGTGTGTGTCTGTGTGTGTGTGTGACTGTGTGTGTGTGTCTGTGTGTGTGTGTCTATGTGTGTCTGTGTGTGTGTGTGTCTGTGTGTGTGTGTCTGTGACCTGGTTCCTCCATCATTCACCTCCCCACCCACTCTCCCCTCAGCTAACGACTTATCGACCCGTCCCCCCCCTCCCTCCCCCCCTCTCCCCCCCTCTCCCCCCTCCCTCCCCCTCTCTCCCCCCTCCCCTCTCTCCCTCCCCCTGTCTAACCCCTCCCTCCGCCGCCCCTCTCCCTCCCCCCCTCCCTCCCCTCTCTCCCTCCCCTCTCTCCCTCCCCCTCCCTCCCCCTCTCTCTGCCCCTCTCTCTCTCTGCCTCTCTCCCCCCTCTGTGTTGCTATGGCAACACAGAGGGGGAGCAAGGGTGATAGGTCACGGTGTAGGAGTAGAGAGTGTGAGTGTGTGTATGTGTGTGTATGTGTAGGTGTGTGTGTGTACACGTGTGTGTAGGTGTGTGTGTGTGTACACGTGTGTGTACGTGTGTGTGTGTGCACGTGTGTGTATGTGTGTGTGTATGTGTAGGTGTGTGTGTGTACACGTGTGTAGGTGTGTGTGTACACGTGTGTGTAGGTGTGTGTGTGTGTGCACGTGTGTGTATGGGTGTGTGTGCACGTGTGTGTGTCTGTGTGTAGGTGTGTGTGTGTGTGTGTAGGTGTGTGTGTGTGTACATGTGTGTAGGTGTGTGTGTGTGCACGTGTGTGTATGTGCACGTGTGTGTATGTGCACGTGAGTGTGTGTATGTGTGTGTAGGTGTGTGTGTGTACATGTGTGTAGGTGTGTGTGTGTACACGTGTGTGTATGTGTGTGTGTTTACGTACATGTGTGTGTATGTGTGTGTGTGCACGTGTGTGTGTGTGCACGTGTGTGTCTGTATGTACGTGTGTGTACGTGTGTGTATGTATATGTGTACATGTGTGTGTACGTGTGTATGTGTGTGTCTGTGTGTATGTGTGTACGCTTGTGTGTGTGTCTGTGTGTGTGTCTGTAGGTAACTCTGTCGTGGACAGTGCTGTGGGGGGAGGGCCAATTCCGATTGGCCCCTCCTCTCATGGCGTCTGTGACCACCACAGTGGCTAAGCGGGGGCTCTGGACGGGTGCGAGGGGCTGGTAACCCCTCCACCTTCAACAAATTACCACTATACCACGTCTAACATATCTAACTAATAAGCTTGTGCCGGAGGACCCGGGGGGCCAGGCGTCTATGACGTCTCCTGGCCAAACCCCAATTGACGGAGCCAGCAGATTGAATCTCTACCCTCGGGGCTCCTCCAGAAACAACGAAAAGCCACTACGGGTGGCCACGTGGAATGTTCGAATGCTCACTGCGGAGGAGAGGCTGCCACTCCTCTGTCGGGAGCTGGACCGGTACCGCCTGGATCTCTGTGTTATTCAGGAGGTCCGGTGGACCGGCTCTGGCTCCTGCCACCATGAGGGGGGGACAGTCCTCTACTCGGGGCAGCAGACTGCCCAACAACAGGGTGTGGCTCTTCTTTTGAACAAAAGAATGAAGGGGGCGTGGGAGCGTGGCGGTGAGGTGTGGGAGGCTGTAAGCCCCAGGCTACTTTGGGCTCGCCTTCCCATCAACCGGAGGCGAGGAGCGGTGGTCGTGGTTACTTATGCCCCCACCGAAGATGAACATCCGTGGAGGGATGCAGGCAAAGCCGATGGGTCAGATGCCTTTTATGACCTCCTGTCACAGGTGCTGGCTAAAGTGGCCCCTCGGGATAGAGTCATCTTGTTGGGTGACTTCAATGCCCGAGTTGGTCATGATGATAGCACCTGGTCTGGAGTGATTGGAGGACATGGGCCAGATCAGCTCAATAACAACGGTAGGAGGCTGCTAGATTTTTGTGCAGCCCATGGGCTTGTAATTATCAACACGCTGTTCCGGCATCGGCGCATCCACACAACATCATGGATGCATGCCGGGTCCAAGCAAGAACATCTGCTGGACTACATAGTGACGGACCAGCGGATGCGAGCCCATCTCCTTGACACCAGGACCTACCGTGGAGCTGATCTGCCCTCTGACCATCGACTAGTCATCTGTAAGATGCGCCTGCTATTCTTCCACTCCGGTGGTGGGTGTACACCCAGGACCCCATTCCAACCTAAAGTGGCCTGGTCTCAGTTATCCGATGAAAGTTGCAACCGAAAATTTAATCATCGCTTGCGGCTGGGGTTGGCATCGTGCCCCACTCCTCCTGATGTTGAGGGTAAATGGGCGAGGTTTAGGACTGTGACTCATGCAGCTGCAATGGCTGCTTTGGGTACGCGGTCCAGACCTCCCCAGAGACCCTGGCTGACAGAGGAGGTGTTCAGGATGGTTGCGAAAAAGCGACAGGCCCACTGTCATCGGCTACAGAATCCCATGTCAGAGAATGAGGCTTACAGCAGCCTTCGCTCAGAGGTTCGGAGAGCCATGAGGCGCTGCAAGGATGGGTGGTGGTTGCGGGTTGCTGAGGTGATGGAGTCTGCCTCATTGGCCCGCGATCACAAATCTCTATTTAACTCCATCAAGAAAGTAACCTGCAGCGCCACACCTATTACCATCATTAGCGGTAAAAAAGGTGATCCAATCTCCGACCCCCAGGAACAGGTTTGCAGATTTTCTGAGGATTTCTGTGAGGTCCTGGGGGAGGGGAAACCCCTCAGCCAGGAAAACATCGTGGCACAAAGTGGGGATGACCCTGCTGAGGCTGCAGGTGCCTCAAATATTGGAAGAAGTCACCCCCTGTGAGTGGCTGGCTGAGGTGCCATCTGTTGAGGAAGTACTGAAGGCGATCCGGAGTCTGAGACCAGGAAAGGCACCGGGCAGAGATGATCTCCCAAGCGAAATGCTGAGGGAGGGTGGCAGTTTGTGCACAGACTGCCCTATATGACATCATAACAACAGTCTGGGACCACTGGACGGGTTCCAGCAGGATTGGAAGGATGCCCTGGTGGTCCCCCTCTTTAAGAAGGGGGACCGCACAGACTGTAACAACTACAGGGCATCTCACTCCTCAGTGTGCCGGGAAAGGTCCTGGCAAGGATTATTCAAGCATCGCCTTGCCAGGCACGCTGAGGAGAGGCTTGCGGAGCCCCAATGCGGTTTCAGGAAAGGGCGGTCCTGCACAGATGCCATATTTTCTGTCCGTTTGCTACAGCAGAGGTGTAGGGAATTCCAACAAGACCTACATCTCTGCTTTATTGACCTGGTCTAGGCCTATGATACCATCAGTAGGCCTGGGCTCTGGGTTGTTCTCCATGCTTTTGGAGTACCTGACCCTCTGCTCACGATCATTAAGGACCTTCATGATGGTGAGTGGGCCCGGGTAGGCCGGGAGTCAGAGCCATTCCCTGTACACCTTGGGGTGCGACAGGGATGTCTTCTGGCTCCCACATTATTTAACATCTATTTTGACCACATAGTTCGTGAGGCCTTCAATAGCTGTACCGGGGGAATCTCCATTTGGTACAGATATAATGGGAGGCTGATCGATGCCCGGGTGTGGTCAAGGGATGGCTCCCTATTGCTCAACCACGTTATGTATTCCGATGATTTGGTAATAGCTGCTCATTCAGAGGAGGAGTTGGAGACGCTGCTGCTGAGACTGGAGTGTGCCACTAACAGATGGGGCCTTACCATCAGCCCGACCAAAACTAAGCACCTGCCTGGGTATTTTGTACCATCGGACACTCCACCCCCACAACTCCCAATCGGTGATGGGGCAGTTGTGGAGAGAGTGGAGAGTTTCTCATACCTGGGCAGTGTGCTTATGACCGGCTCCAGTTTAACAGCAGAGGTCTCACTCCGAATCAGTCGAGCGGCAATATCTTTTCATCGGTTGCGTAACGCTGTGTGGAAGCTACCTGGTCTGTCGCTCCGCACTAAGCTTCAGGTCTTCTCGGCAACGGTCATTCCCTCCCTTCTCTACACTTGCGAAACGTGGACCCCCTTAATGGAACATCTTCGCCGGTTAAAAACATTTAGGCTAGCCTGCTTACGATCCATCCTGGGTTTAACCAGGCTGGATTGTGTGAGTAGCTCACAAATCCTTGAAAGATCTGGGCAAGGTCCCATCGGTGAGCTCCTCCGGCAGGCAAGGCTGCGATGGCTGGGTCCTGTAGCCCGCATGCCCAGCCACCGCATGCCGAAGCAGCTTTTGTTCGGCCGGATCGAGTGGGCTAAGCGGGCGCGGCACGGGCTAGAGAAGAGATGGAGTGATGTGGTACAGGAGGACGTGGAGCTGAGTGGACTTGCCGATGACTGGTACCAGCGGTGTCAAGATCGGCCTCTGTGGAGGAGGCTCGTGAAGGATGCTACTGGGCAGTTGGAGGCAGTCGCCCTCCAACAACAACGGAGGGCGGAGGAGTGACGCTCAGAACAACGAGTGGAGCGCCGGGTGGCTAAAGCACAGCAGGTTGGCACAGTAGGGGGCACAGGTGGTGCATCAGCCAGTCAGCTCAGTCAGTCGACCCGTGGCACCTGGGTCTGCCCCGTGACCTCCTGCCAGCGGGCGTTCGACACTTCACGTGGTAGCCTCAGGGTGCACATAGCCTGGCACAAGCGTCGTGGTGACGTCACCGCCACTTAGTGGCGAATGGCGGTTGTTGTTGTTGTGTCTCTGTGTGTGTGTCTGTGTGTGTGTGTCTGTGTGTGTATGTGTGTGTGTCTGTGTGTGTCTGTGTGTGTGTGTCTGTGTGTGTGTGTGTCTGTGTGTGTGTGTGTAACTGTGTGTCTCTGTGTGTGTGACTGTGTGTACACTGTGTGTGTGTGTGTCTGTGTGTCTGTGTGTGTGTGTGACTGTGTGTGTGTGTGACTGTGTGTACACTGTGTGTGTGTGTGCTGTGTGTCTGTGTGTGTGTGTGACTGTGTGTGTGTGTGACTGTGTGTACACTGTGTGTGTGTGTGACTGTGTGTGTGTGTGTGTGACTGTGTGTACACTGTGTGTGTGTGTCTGTGTTCAGGCGAAGACCTCGCGTCTGGGAGCGAGCGACCATCGCGAGGAGACTCACCACCTCTGAAGCGGTTTAGAGGTGAGTGGTACTCACTCACCACTCACTCACCACTCACTCACCACTCACCACCCACTCACTCACTCACTCACCCACTCACCCACTCACCTACTCAGTCACTCACCCACTCACTCACCACTCACTCACCACTCACTCACTCACCCACTCACTCACTCACCACTCACTCACCACTCACTCACCACTCACTCACTCACCACTCACTCACCACTCACTCACAACTCACTCACTCACCTACTCAGTCATACACTCACCCACTCACTCACTCACCTACTCAGTCACTCACCCACTCAGTCACTCACCCACTCACTCACCACTCACCCACTCACTCACTCACCCACTCACTCACCACTCACTCACCACTCACTCACCCACCCGCTCACTCACCCACCTACTCACTCACCTACTCACTCACCACTCACTCACCACTCACTCACTCACCCACTCACTCACTCACCACTCACTCACCACTCACTCACCACTCACTCACTCACCACTCACTCACCACTCACTCACAACTCACTCACTCACCTACTCAGTCATACACTCACCCACTCACTCACTCACCTACTCAGTCACTCACCCACTCAGTCACTCACCCACTCACTCACCACTCACCCACTCAGTCACTCACCCACTCACTCACCACTCACTCACCACTCACTCACCCACCCGCTCACTCACCCACCTACTCACTCACCTACTCACTCACCTACTCACTCACTCATTCACCCACTCACCCAATCACTCACTCATACACTCACCCACCTACTCACTCACCTACTCACTCACTCATTCACCCACTCACCCACTCACTCACTCATCCACTCACACACTCACTCACATACCCACTCAGCCACTCACTCACTCACTCACCCACTCACTCAGCCAATCACTCACTCATTCATCCACCCACTCACTCACTCACCCACTCACTCACTCACCCACTCATTCACTCATACACTCACCCACCTACTCACTCACCTACTCACTCACTCATTCACCCACTCACCCACTCACTCACTCATCCACTCACACACTCACTCACCCACCCACTCACCCACCCACTCACTCACCCATCCACCCTCTCACCCACTCAGTCACCCACTCACTCACTCACCCATCCACTCACTCGCATATACTCATACACTCACTCATGCACACGTGCGTGTGTGTGTGTGTGTGTACACATATGTGTGTGTACACGTGTGTGTACACGTGCTAATGAGTGTGTGTACACGTGTGTGTGTGTACACGTGTGTGTGTACACGTGTGTGTGTGTACACGTGTGTGTACACGTGCTAATGAGTGTGTGTGTACACGTGTGTGTGTACACGTGTGTGTACACGTGCTAATGAGTGTGTGTGTGTGTACACGTGTGTGTGTGTACACGTGTGTGTGTGTACACGTGTGTGTGTGTACACGTGCTAATGAGTGTGTGTGTGTACACGTGCTAATGAGTGTGTGTGTACACGTGTGTGTGTGTGTACACGTGTGTGTGTGTACACGTGTGTGTGTACACGTGCTAATGAGTGTGTGTGTGTACACGTGTGTGTGTGTACACGTGTGTGTACACGTGCTAATGAGTGTGTGTGTACACGTGTGTGTGTGTACACGTGTGTGTGTGTACACGTGTGTGTACACGTGTGTGTGTGTACACGTGTGTGTGTGTACACGTGTGTGTACACGTGCTAATGAATGTGTGCGCGTCGCTGTGTTTATGCAGAATGCACTTCCAGTCCAACCAGCAAGAACAACACACACACAGGTACAGTACACACACACACACAGACACACAGACACACACACACAGACACACACACACACACAGGTACAGTACACACACACACAGACACACAGACACACACACACAGACACACACACACACAGGTATAGTACACACACACACACACAGACACACAGACACACACACACAGACACACACACACACGTATAGTACACACAGACACACACACACAGACACACACACACAGACACACACACACACAGACACACACACAGACACACACACACAGACACACAGACACACACACAGACACACACACACACAGACACACACACAAACACACAGACACACACACAGACACACACACAGGTACAGTACACACAGACACACACACAGACACATACACACACACACAGACACACACACATACACACACACACAGACACACACACAGACACAAGGAGGTGGGGTTGGTGGTGGGGGGCTGATGGCCCCCCCCTTCACCTCGCTACGTGAATTATTGATGGGGACCCGGCGATAACTAATAACTCGCTGCTGTCTTTCAATTATTGAGAAGGGATGGTGGGGGGAGGGGGATGGGGGGGAGGGGCTGGTGAGCGGTGGCGCAGCGGTTAGCACGCTGCGTCAGAGATCCACTCACCCACCCACCCACTCACCCACCCACCCACTCACCGAGTCACTCACTCACTCACCCACTCACTCACTCACCCACCCACTCACCCATCCACCCACTCACTCACCCATCCACCCACTCACTCACTCACCCACTCACTCACTCACCGAGTCACTCACTCACTCACTCACCCACTCACTCACTCACCCACCCACTCACCCATCCACCCACTCACTCACCCATCCACCCACTCACTCACTCACCCACTCACTCACTCACCCACTCACTCACTCACCCATTCACTCACCCACTCACCCACCCACTCACCCACTCACACACCCACCCACTCACCCACCCACTCACTCACCCACCCAACCACCCACCCACTCACCCACTCACTCACCCACTCACCCACTCACCCATCCACTCATCCACTCACTCACTTACTCACCCACTCACTCACTCACCCACTCACCCACTCACACACCCACCCACTCACCCACCCACTCACTCACCCACCCAACCACCCACCCACTCACCCACTCACTCACCCACTCACCCACTCACCCATCCACTCATCCACTCACTCACTTACTCACCCACTCACCCACTCACCCACCCACTCACTCACCCACCCAACCACCCACCCACTCACCCACTCACTCACTCACCCACTCACCCACTCACCCACCCACTCACTCACCCACCCAACCACCCACCCACTCACCCACCCACCTATCCACCCACCCACTCACCCATCCACTCATCCACTCACTCACTTACTCACCCACTCACCCACTTACTCACCCACTCACTCACCCACTTACTCACCCACTCACTCACACACTCACTCACCCACTCACCCAATTACCAATTGGCACTGCTGCTACTACTGACAGCACTTGCCCCTACAGCCTGCTAGAGGCTACACGGGGGATCTTTGTCTGTGTGTAGGTGCTGATACTCGCTACTACTGACAGCACTTGCCCCTACAGCCTGTTAGAGGCTACCTGGGGGATCTTTGTCTGTGTGTAGGTGCTACTACTGACAGCACTTGCCCCTACAGTCTGCTAGAGGCTACACGGGGGATCTTTGTCTGTGTGTAGGTGCTACTGACAGCACTTGCCCCTACAGCCTGCTAGAGGCTACACGGGGGATCTTTGTCTGTGTGTAGATGCTGCTACTAGTAACAGCACTTGCCCCTACGGTTCCGCTAAAGGCTACCTGGGGTGTCTTTGTCTTTTTGCGCAGATGACAGCTGCTGTGACTCGCCACCTCAGCCGTCCAGTCCACGTTACCATGACGAGGGAAGTCTTCCTGACAGGTGGGCACAAGGACAACGGTGTCACGTGGTGTGCAGGGGCTAAGTGCCGTGCCAGGCTAGGTGCACGAGGAGGTCACATGACAGACCCAGCAGGTGCCATGGGTTGACTGCCGTGCCAGGCTAGGTGCAGGAGGAGGTCACACTCACAAACAAAGATCCCCCGTGTAGCCTGTAACAGACTGTAGGGGCAAGTGCTGTTAGCGAGTTGCAGGGTCTTTGAAGGCTACCGGCACGGTACACGAGGGGGTGGGTGGCCAGCAACCACTCCCGGCCGCCTTTGTCTCCCCAGTGACGGTGTTTGCACACCACCACCACCACACCAGGGAATCGAACTCGGGTCACCCATCACCCACCAACCCACCCACCAACTCACCCACCCACTCACCCACCCACCCACTCACCCACCCACCCACTCACTCACCCACCCACCCACTCAACCACCCACCCACCCACCCACTCACCCCACCCACCCACTCACCCACCCACCCACCAACTCACCCACCAACTCACCCACTCACCCACCCACCCACTTACCCACTCACCCACTCACCCACCCACCCACTCACCCACCCACCCACCAACTCACCCACCAACTCACCCACTCACCCACTCACCCACCCACCCACTCACCCACTCACCCACCAACTCACCCACTCACCCACCAACTCACCCACTCACCCACCCACCCACTCACTCACTCACCCACCCACCCACTCACTCACTCACCCACCCATTTACCCACCCACTCACTTACCCACTCATCCACCCACTCACCCACCCAACCACTCTCCCACTCACCCACCCACCCACTCACCCACCCACTCACCCACCCACTCACCAACTCACCCACCCACTCACCCACCCACTCACCCACCCACTCACCCACTCACCCACCCACCCACCCACTCACCCACTCACCCACTCACCCACCCACTCACCTACCCACTTACCCACCCACTCACCCACCCACTGACCCACTCGCCAACCCACCCGCTCACCCACGTCACTCACCAGGTCACTCACCACACCACTCACCACACCACTCACCACACCACTCACCACACCACGTGCTTTTTTTCCTGTAGGGATGGCAACTGCTCTTTGACCCCTACCCACAATGCAGCATTCCTGGGACTCCGCCCCTTCCTGGGCTTGCCACCTCTCCTCTCACCACTGCCCGGTAACCATAGCAACCGCGCTCACCACACCCGCTCACCACACCCGCTCACCACACCCGCTCACCACACCCACCGAACAGTGATGGCTGACATGTGACGGGGGCCGTGTGGTGCAGGGTTTCCCGGGATCCTCTCTCCGGGTCACGCCGAGCTGTTGGCATGGCAACAGGAGCTGCTGAGGAGGCACGGCCTGGCAAGGTAACCATAGCAACCTCCACCTTGTGACCATGGCAACCTCCACTACCTCGTAACCATAGCAACTGCCACCTCGTGACCATAGCAACCACCACCTCGTGACCCTAGCAACTGCCACCACCTCGTGACCATGGCAACCGCCACCACCTCGTGACCATGGCAACCACCATCACCTCGTGACCCTAGCAACCACCACCACCTCGTGACCATAGCAACCACCACCACCTCGTGACCATAGCAACCACCACTACCTCGTGACCATGGCAACCACCACCACCTCGTGACCATAGCAACCATCACCACGTGACCTAGTTTACTAGTGACCTAGTTTACTAGTGACCTAGTGAACCACGTAAACGAATGACCCAGTGAATGAGTGACCCAGTGACCCAGTGAATGAGTGACCCAGTGACCCTGTGAACTAGTGGCCCGGTGACCCACTGAATGAGTGACCCAGTGGCCCAGTGAACGACTGACCCAGTGACCCTGTGAACTAGTGACCCAGTGACCCTGTGAACTAGTGACCCAGTGAATGAGTAATCCAGTGAACGAGTGACCTAGTGGCCCAGTGAACGAGTGACCCAGTGACCCAGTGAACGAATGACCCAGTGGCCCAGTGACCCAGTGACCCTGTGAACTAGTGACCCAGTGAATGAGTAACCCAGTGAACGAGTGACCCAGTGACCCAGTGACCAAGTGACCCAGTGACCCAGTGAACGAATGACCCAGTGGCCCAGTGAACGAGTGACCAAGTGACCCAGTGAACGAGTGACCCAGTGACCCTGTGAACTAGTGACCCAGTGAATGAGTAACCCAGTGAACGACTGACCCAGTGACCCTGTGAACTAGTGACCCAGTGAACGAGTGACCCAGTGACCCAGTGACCAAGTGGCCCAGTGATCAAGTGACCCCCCCCCGCCCCCACCCTCTAGCAACCCCCTCCCCCCCTGACCCAGTGACCCCCCCCCCCTGCCCCCCCCCCCCGCCCCCCCCGCCCCCCCACCAGGCTGGACCCGTGCCTGTGCCCCAGTGGGGGTGAGTTGCTGCTGCGCCAGCTGGAGCTGGAGCAGCTTCGCCGGATCGTCCTATCGGAGCTGCCCGCCGTCGCCGCGGCGACCGCCACGGCCAATCACGCGGCGGCGGCGGCGGCGGCGGCCGCCGCGGCCGCCTCCTACTGCGCCCCGCCCGCCCAGCAGCCAATCCCGCGGCTCGACGCCGAGCTGGGGGCGGAGCTCCGCGGAGGGTCTCAGGGCAAGGGGCAGCAGCAGCAACAGCAGCAGGTGACCGGAACGCTCGCGGCTCATTGGCCGAGCGGCCGACCAATCGGGAGAGCTGTTGCCGACGGCGGCCGGGGTCGCTCGGAGACGGACGGGCCAATAGGGAGGGAGGGAGGGGCCCAGCTCACTCGCGCTCGCAGCCGGCCAATCGCGACGCTCGTGAGACCCCCTGGGGAGCCGGCCAATCGCGACGCTCGTGAGAGCCCTCCGGGCAGCCGGCCAATCGCGACGCTCGTGAGACCCCCATGGGGAGCCGGCCAATCGCGACACTCGTGAGGACCCCCTCCCGGGGAGCCGGCCAATCCCGACGCTCGTGAGACCCCCATGGGGAGCCGGCCAATCGCGACGCTCGTGAGGACCCCCCCCCCCCCGGGGAGCCGGCCAATCACGACGCTCGTGAGACCCCCCCGGGGAGCCGGCCAATCACGACGCTCGTGAGACCTCACCGGGCAGCCGGCCAATCACGACGCTCGTGAGACCCCATGGGGAGCCGGCCAATCACGACGCTCGTGAGGACCCCCTCCCCAGGGAGCCGGCCAATCACGACGCTCGTGAGACCTCACCGGGGAGCCGGCCAATCACGACGCTCGTGAGACCCTCCGGGGAGCCGGCCAATAACGACGCTCGTGAGACCCCCCGGGAAGCCGGCCAATCACGACGCTCGTGAGACCCCCCGGGAAGCCGGCCAATCACGACGCTCGTGAGACCCCCCCGGGAAGCCGGCCAATTGCGACGCTCGTGAGACCCCCCCGGGCAGCCGGCCAATCGCGGAGGGCTGCGGTGGTTTGCTAAAGAGGCCGGCCAATCGGATCGCTCGCTCGCCAATCGGATCGCTCGCAGAGCCGACCAACCGGGGGAGCAGCTTCCGCCGAGCCAGCCAATCGGAGAGCCGCGTTAACTCGGGAGACAACCAATCAGATCGCTCTCTCGCGCACGCGCAAGCTCACTCGCAGCCGGCCAATCGGAGCGCGGCTCCTCCGCCAGGCCGGCCAATCAGAGAGCCGCGCGTGCGTGCCTGTGTGTGGGGAGTGGTGGCGCAGCAGTTAGCGCTACGCTGCACTAACTACGAACCAGGCGACCCGGGTTCGATTCCCGCTCACCGGTCCTGGGCCTCCCCTAGGTCGACTCAGCCTCAAATGAGTAACCTGGTGTTGCGGCGGTGGTGGTGGTGTAGTGGTGGTGTAGTGGTGGTGGTGGTGTAGTGGTGGTGGTGTAGTGGTGGTGTATTGGTGGTGTAGTGGTGGTGTAGTTGTGGTGGTGTAGTGGTGGTGTACCGGTGGTGGTGTGGTGGTGTAGTGGTGGTGTAGTGGTGGTGTAGTGGTGGTGGTGGTGTAGTGGTGGTGGTGGTGTAGTGGTGGTGGTGGTGTAGTGGTGGTGGTGTAGTGGTGGTGGTGGTGGTGTAGTGGTGGTGGTGGGGTAGTGGTGGTGGTGTAGTGGTGGTGGTGTAGTGGTGGTGTAGTCGTGGTGGTGTAGTGGTGGTGTAGTGGTGGTGGTGGTGTAGTGGTGGTGGTGCAGTGGTGGCGGTGGTGGTGGTGAGTCTGTAGTGGTGGTGTAGTGGTGGTGGTGGTGGCGGTGGTGGTGGTGTAGTGGTGGTGGTGTAGTGGTGTAGTAGTGGTGGTGGTGTGGTGGTGTAGTAGTGGTGGTGGTGGTGTAGTGGTGGTGGTGTAGTAGTGGTGTAGTGGTGGTGTGGTGGTGGTGTAGTGGTGGTGTAGTGAACATCGCTAGCCACTGGGGGAGAGACAAAGACGGCCGGGCGTGGTGCTGCTGGGCCACCCACCCCCTCTGTGTGTGACCCACAGTGCCCCGGTAGCCTCTATAGGCAGCGCTGCTGCTACTCGCTAGCACAGCACTTGCCCCGACACTCTGCTAAAGCTGCACGGGAACCTTTGTCTTTGTCAGGTGAAGGGAGGGGGCGGAGACACGTGCACCTGTAACCATGACGACCAGGACACCCCCGGAGACCGGGTGACCAATGGGAGCGCAGCGAGCGGCAAGAAGGGAGGGGCCACACTGGAGGTGAGCAGGGGAGTGGGTGGGTGGGTGGATGGGTGAGTGGATGGTTGAGTGGGTGGGTGAGTGGATGGGTGAGTGGGTGGGTGAGTGAGTGGATGGGTGGGTGGGTGAGTGGGTGGGTGAGTGGATGGGTGAGTGGGTGAGTGGGTGGGTGAGTGGATGGGTGAGTGGGTGAGTGGATGGGTGAGTGGGTGAGTGGATGGGTGAGTGGGTGGGTGAGTGGGTGAGTGGATGGGTGAGTGGGTGAGTGAGTGGATGGGTGGGTGGATGGGTGAGTGGGTGAGTGAGTGAGTGAGTGGATGGGTGAGTGAGTGGATGGGTGGGTGGGTGAGTGAGTGGATGGGTGGGTGGGTGAGTGAATGGGTGAGTGGATGGGTGAGTGGGTGAGTGGATGGGTGGGTGGATGGGTGAGTGGGTGAGTGAGTGAGTGGATGGGTGAGTGGGTGAGTGAGTGGATGGGTGGGTGGGTGAGTGAGTGGATGGGTGGGTGGGGTGAGTGAGTGTATGGGTGGGTGGGTGAGTGGATGGGTGAGTGGGTGAGTGAGTGGATGGGTGGGTGGGTGGGTGAGTGGATGGGTGAGTGGGTGAGTATGTGAGTGGGTGGGTGAGTGGGTCAGTGGATGGGTGAGTGGGTGAGTGAGTGGATGGGTGGGTGGGTGAGTGGATGGGTGAGTGGGTGAGTGAGTGGATGGGTGGGTGGGTGAGTGAGTGGATAGGTTGGTGGGTGAGTGGATGAGTGAGTGGGTGAGTGGATGGGTGAGTGGGTGAGTGTGTGAGTGGATGGGTGGGTGGGTGAGTGAATGGGTGAGTGGGTGGGTGAGTGGATGGGTGGGTGGGTGAGTGAGTGGATGGGTGGGTGGGTGAGTGGATGGGTGAGTGGGTGAGTGAGTGGATGAGTTGGTGGGTGGGTGTGTGAGTGGATGGGTGGGTGGGTGAGTTTATGGGTGGGTGGGTGTGTGAGTGGATGGGTGAGTGGATGGGTGAGTGAGTGGATGGGTGGGTGGGTGAGTGAGTGGATGGGTGGGTGGGTGAGTGGATGGGTGAGTGGGTGAGTGAGTGGATGAGTTGGTGGGTGAGTGGATGGGTGGGTGGGTGAGTGAGTGGATGGGTGGGTGGGTGAGTGGATGGGTGAGTGGGTGAGTGAGTGGATGAGTTGGTGGGTGGGTGTGTGAGTGGATGGGTGGGTGGGTGAGTTTATGGGTGGGTGGGTGTGTGAGTGGATGGGTGAGTGGATGGGTGAGTGAGTGGGTGGATGAGTGAGTGAATGGGTGGGTGGGTAAGTGGATGGGTGAGTGGGTGGCTGAGTGAGTGAGTGGGTGGGTGGGTGGGTGAGTGGGTGGGTGGGTGGGTGAGTGAGTGGGTGGGTGAGTGGGTGGGTGAGTGTGTGAGCGGGTGAGTGGGTGGGCGGGTGAGTGGGTGAGTGGATGGGTGAGTGAGTGGGTGGATGAGTGAATGGGTGGGTGGGTAAGTGGATGGGTGAGTGGGTGAGTGGGTGGGTGAGTGAGTGGGTGAGTGGGTGGGTGAGTGGGTGGGTGGGTGAGTGAGTGGGTGGCTGAGCGGGTGAGTGAGTGGCTGAGCGGGCCGGTGGGTGGTTCCATTGGAGATTGACAGCACTTGCCCCCCAGAGCCCGCGTGAGCTACCCGGGTGCCCTTTGTCTGTGTGTGGTGCAGTTCGACTGGAGGGAGGCTGGGGTGAAGCTCCTTGGAGCTGCGAACCTCCCCCTGCACCTCTCCCTGCCCTTCACTCACAGCCCACTCCTGCCCGCAGGTGGGTGGGTGGGTGGGTGGGAGGGTGGGTGGGTGGGAGGGTGGGTGGGTGGGTGAGAGGGTGAGTGGCTGGGTGGGTGGGTGGGTGAGAGGGTGGGTGTGTGAGAGGGTGGGTGGGTGGGTGGGAGGGTGGGTGGGTGAGAGGGTGGGTGGGTGAGAGGGTGGGTGGGTGAGAGGGTGAGTGGCTGGGTGGGTGGGTGGGTGAGAGGGTGGGTGGGTGAGAGGGTGGGTGGGTGGGAGGGTGGATGAGTGAGAGGGTGGGTGGGTGGGTGAGAGGGTGGGTGGGTGAGAGGGTGGGTGGGTGGGTGGGAGGGTGGTTGAGTGAGAGGGTGGGTGGGTGAGAGGGTGGGTGGGTGGGTGAGAGGGTGGGTGGGTGGGTGGGAGGGTGGGTGGGTGGGAGGGTGGAAGGGTGGGTGGGTGGGTGGGAGGGTGGGAGGGTGGGTGGGTGGGAGGGTGGGTGGGTGAGAGGGTGAGAGGGTGGGTGAGTGGGAGGGTGGGTGGGTGGGAGGGTGGGAGGGTGGGTGGGTGGGAGGGTGGGTGGGTGGGTGGGAGGGTGGGAGGGTGGGTGGGTGGGAGGGTGGGTGGGTGGGAGGGTGGGAGGGTGGGTGGGTGAGAGGGTGGGTGGGTGGGAGGGTGGGTGGGTGAGAGGGTGGGTGGGTGAGTGGTTGGGTGAGAGGGTGGGTGAGTGGGTGAGAGGGTGGGTGGGTGGGTGAGAGTGTGGGTGGGTGGGTGAGAGTGTGGGTGGGTGGGTGAGAGGGTGGGTGGGTGGGTGAGAGTGTGGGTGGGTGGGTGAGAGGGTGGGTGGGTGGGTGGGTGAGAGGGTGAGTGGGTGGGTGGAGCAGCGTCTGATAATCCACATGATGGTGCTGGTGGTGGTTGTTGTTGTTGTTGGTGGTGGTGGTGGTTGTGTAATGGTGGTGCATTTGCCACTCATCTCAGTCAGTCGACCCATGGCACCTGCTGGGTCTGTTGTGGTTGTTGTTGTGGTTGTTGTTGTGGTTGTTGTTGTGGTTGTTGTTGTGGTTGTTGTTGTTGTGGTAGTTGTGGTTGTTGTTGTGGTTGTTGTTGTGGTTGTTGTTGTGGTGGTTGTGGTTGTTGTGGTTGTTGTTGTTGTTGTGGTTGTTGTTTGTCGCTAATTATTTATTTATTATATTCTCTCTCTCTCTCTCTCCAGCTCTTATATCATCGCCTGCAGCAAATCGGTGAGTTACCATTCACTCACCACGCTCACCACTCACTCACCACTCACTCACTACTCACCACACTCACTCACCATTCACTCACCACTCACTCACCACTCACTCACACACTCACTCACACACTCACTCACCACTCACTCACCACACTCACCGCTCACTCACCACTCACTCACTACTCAATCACCATTCACTCACTCACACACTCACCACTCACTCATTACACTCACCACTCACTTACCACTCACTTACCACTCACTCACCATTCACTCACCACTCACTCACGACTCACCCACCCACTCACTCACCACTCACTCACCACTCACTCACCACTCACTCACCACACTCACTCACTCACCACTCAATCACCATTCACTCACTCACACACTCACCACTCACTCACCACACTCACCCACTCACTCACCACTCACTCACCGCTCACTCACCATTCACTCACCACTCACTCACTGCTCACTCACCACTCACTCACCACTCACTCACTCACCACTCACTCACCCACCCACTCACCACTAACACTCACCACTCACTTACCACACTCACTCACCACTCACTCACCATTCACTCACCACTTACTTACCACACTCCCCGCTCACTCACCACTCACTCACCATTCACTCACCACTCACTCACCGCTCACTCACCATTTACTCACCACTTACTTACCACACTCCCCGCTCACTCACCACTCACTCACCATTCACTCACCACTCACTCACCGCTCACTCACCATTCACTCACCACTCACTTACCACTCACTCACTCACTCACACACACACCTCACTCACCACTCACTCACCACTCACTTACCACACTCACCACTCACTCACCGCTCACTCACCACTCACTCATCACTCACTTACCACTCACTTACCACACTCACCACTCACTCACCACTCACTCACCGCTCACTCACCACTCACTCACCACTCACTTACCACACACTTACCACTCACTCCCCGCTCACTCACCACTCACTCACCACTCACTCACCATTCACTCACCACTCACTTACCACTCACTTACCACACTCACCACTCACTCACCACTCACTCACCACTCACTCACCATTCACTCACCACTCACTTACCACTCACTTACCACACTCCCCGCTCACTCACCACTCACTCACCAAACTCACCCAATCACTCCCCATGTCTCCCCCCGTGTCTCCCCGTGTCTCTATTTGTCTCCCCCGTGTCTCCCCCCGTGTCTCCCCGTGTCTCCCCCGTGTCTCCCCCGTGTCTCCCCGTGTCTCCCCGTGTCTCCCCCGTGTCTCGCCGTGTCTCGCCGTGTCTCCCCGTGTCTCCCCCGTGTCTCCTCCGTGTCTCCCCGTGTCTCCCCCGTGTCTCCCCGTGTCTCCCCGTGTCTCCCCGTGTCTCCCCCGTGTCTCCCCGTGTCTCCCCCGTGTCTCCCCCGTGTCTCCCCGTGTCTCCCCCGTGTCTCCCCGTGTCTCCCCGTGTCTCCCCCGTGTCTCCCTCGTGTCTCCCCTGCGTCTCCCCCGTGTCTCCCCCGTGTCTCCCCGTGTCTCCCTGTGTCTCCCCCGTGTCTCCCCGTGTCTCCCCCGTGTCTCCCCCGTGTCTCCCCCGTGTCTCTCCGTGTCTCACCGTGTCTCACCGTGTCTCCCCGCGTCTCCCCGTGTCTCCCCGTGTCTCCCCCGTGTCTCCCCCGTGTCTCCCCCGTGTCTCCCCGTGTCTCCCCGTGTCTCCCCGTGTCTCCCCGTGTCTCCCCGTGTCTCCCCGTGTCTCCCCCGTGTCTCCCTCGTGTCTCCCCCGTGTCTCCCCCGTGTCTCTCCGTGTCTCCCCGTGTCTCTCCCCGTGTCTCCCCGTGTCTCCCCCGTGTCTCCCCGTGTCGCCCCGTGTCTCCCCCGTGTCTCCCCGTGTCTCCCCGTGTCTCCCCCGTGTCTCGCCGTGTCTCCCCGTGTCTCCCCCGTGTCTCCCCCGTGTCTCCCCGTGTCTCCCCGTGTCTCCCCCGTGTCTCGCCGTGTCTCCCCGTGTCTCCCCCGTGTCTCCTCCGTGTCTCCCCGTGTCTCCCCCGTGTCTCCCCGTGTCTCCCCGTGTCTCCCCGTGTCTCCCCCGTGTCTCCCCGTGTCTCCCCCGTGTCTCCCCCGTGTCTCCCCGTGTCTCCCCGTGTCTCCCCCGTGTCTCCCCGTGTCTCCCCGTGTCTCCCTCGTGTCTCCCCCGTGTCTCCCCGTGTCTCCCCGTGTCTCCCCGTGTCTCCCCCGTGTCTCCCCGTGTCTCCCCCGTGTCTCCCCCGTGTCTCCCCGTGTCTCCCCGTGTCTCCCCCGTGTCTCCCCGTGTCTCCCCGTGTCTCCCCCGTGTCTCCCACGTGTCTCCCCCGTGTCTCCTCCGTGTCTCTCCGTGTCTCCCCGTGTCTCCCCCGTGTCTCCCCGTGTCTCCCCCGTGTCTCCCCGTGTCTCCCCGTGTCTCCCCGTGTCTCCCCGTGTCTCCCCGTGTCTCCCCCGTGTCTCCCCGTGTCTCCCCCGTGTCTCCCCGTGTCTCCCCCGTGTCTCCCCGTGTCTCTCGTTGTCTCCCCGCGTCTCCCCGCGTCTCCCCCGTGTCTTGCCGTGTCTCACCTTGACCCCGTGACCCCGTGACCCCGTGACCCCAGGTTGGTGGGAGTGACCTCATCACTCGGACGGCGGTGTCCGTCCTGACCTCGCACAGCCCGGAGACCGTCCGGTGAGACACACACAGACACACACACACAGACACACACACAGACACACACAATACAGAC